CCACCACAACACCTCTCCTCCACAACACAGTGCTCATCACCACCACCCACAACACCTCTCCTCCACAACACAGTGCTCCACAACACAGTGCTCATCACCACCACCACCACAACACCTCTCCTCCACAACACAGTGCTCATCACCACCACCCACAACACCTCTCCTCCACAACACAGTGCTCATCACCACCACCACCACAACACCTCTCCTCCACAACACAGTGCTCATCACCACCACCCACAACACCTCTCCTCCACAACACAGTGCTCATCATCACCACCACCCACAACACCTCTCCTCCACAACACAGTGCTCATCACCACCACCACAACACCTCTCCTCCACAACACAGTGCTCATCACCACCACCACAACAAATTCAAACAAGTAACGAATACAACTGAGAAGCGGGAAATAACCCCACACAGACCATTGACTGAAGCAGCACAGAGGAAAGGCTAATTATTAACTCAACCTTGATCCAGAAGGATCCACATGTCAAAAGTAAATAGGGAACGACCTGTAAAATATAAACACAATTCTCAATCAAATTTAGGCTAGATCTGTCCCCATCGATTTATGGCATTACCGAAGGTTAGGAAGGTTTCAAAATGAATCAAATTGACTAGTGAAGAATATCTTTACAAACAGTAAACCAGTGAAATATGTACTAGAAGAGATGAATTTGAGGAACATTGCAAAGTACCACGAAGTATATATTAATTAGGATACGTTTAATGACGAATAGGGAAAAGTGATAAATATCATGGAACAAAACCTTGAAAATAAGAGCATAAACAGTGAACAAGAACCATCAAGCCAGGTAACAGATTGTACACCCTAATCGGTACACGTAGCATGGTGTGGTACCTATCGTAAGGAACAGGCAGTAATGACAAGGTCAAAAGTCCACTATGGGCTCACCATAGCCCGTGCTACTTGGAACTTTTTGTTCCGGGTAGCGAATCTTAAACAACAAACAAAATAACGACAAGGTCAAGAAGCACCCCCTCCCTTGAAACGAATTTGAAATAAATGGAATCACAGCCCCTTAGAGAAACCAAAAATTACATATATATTACAAATGTAATATAAATATTACATTATTATTATTGTCAGAACAAAAGGGAGAACGGAGGGAGATACAAGAGAAAAAGGAAGGGAATAGAGAAGAAGGACGGAAAGCAAGAAAGAGAAAGAGACATTCTCTCAACTGTTACAGAGAGAACGGTTTGAGTGGCATATAATGGGAAAGGGAGGTTGGAGAAGGGTGTATGGGGGGTGACCAGGGGAAGTATAATTCCGCCATGTTGGCTATAATCGACCACACAAGTCAAAAACTTAGCAAAACAACAGCAACTTGAGTATCACCACTCCGGACATAATGAGCAACTTTCAGGAAAGGTAAAAGTTAAACACACAATTTTATTCAATATTTATTGTGTCCAGTAAACTATACCAGGTCACATCATCACTGGCCCTTACCTATTCCTGAACAGGAATATAAAAATAATATTTTGAATACAAACATACATTGTGTATAGACGTGGGTCGATATTCTGCATGAAAAAGAAAGACATAGATCGTGAATGCGTATGGAATAATGTGCCGAGTCTTTGTCGTCTGTTCACGAAGCAGGGTTGTGAAGCTATTGGAACCAAACAGCAAAAGAAACTAGTAAACAGTTGGATATTTGCTAGATAGAAAACATTTAACTATTATTATGACTTCACAGGTCTCTCGATCAAATTGATTATATCAGTGATACACAGTCATCTACAACACGTCGTTCACGTAAATACAGCTCCTCCTTAAACCACAAACCACCATATTGTGGATAATAAAATTTCATTCACTTTGTCTGGTCTGAGGTTTAAGGCTCCGATGGTCCAAGTGAATGAAATATGAATGTGAATGACACGCATATATCTTGTATATGCGTGTCATTCCTTTAGATTCCTGTGATTGATCTATTCAATCATATCTGAATGCATTCATTGTCCGGTCTTGGGACGTTCCGGGTTTGATCTGGTGGACGAACGTGGTGCTATCAAGGCTGAGACAAAGTGAACAAAGACTCTGAACACCATTAGCTTCCCAGGCGATATACAGCAACATCCATACGTTATTTTGATAACAAAAGAACGCATAAATACAAGTTCTTGACTTATAAATTTTGTGACAACTTAAAAATATGAGTTACGGCAGAAATGTTGACGGGATCTAGCTACAAAAAACGGGAACTAACTGCAGAAAACGGAGAGTTAAGGGGGAACTGCCCCTTCTAGCGTAATTGGTCCTTTATTGGAGCGGGAGAAGAGGCTGTACAGCTGTCGCCAGCAAGTGTGTCTCACCTCGGCGCTTCACCCGAGAGACAGTACCGATATTTCCCTCACTAGGGAGATAGTACTGGCCCTTGTCTTACAGGGAGACATTTGCCTCACCTGGGAGATAGTACTGACCCTTGTCTTACAGGGAGACATTTGCCTCACCAGGGAGATAGTACTGACCCTTGTCTTACAGGGAGACATTTGCCTCACCTGGGAGATAGTACTGACCCTTGTCTTACAGGGAGACATTTGCCTCACCTGGGAGATAGTACTGACCCTTGTCTTACAGGGAGACATTTGCCTCACCAGGGAGATAGTACTGACCCTTGTCTTACAGGGAGACATTTGCCTCACCAGGGAGATAGTACTGACCCTTGTCTTACAGGGAGACATTTGCCTCACCTGGGAGATAGTACTGACCCTTGTCTTACAGGGAGACATTTGCCTCACCTGGGAGATAGTACTGACCCTTGTCTTACAGGGAGACATTTGCCTCACCAAAGACACACTACCAATAGTTACCTCACCTGGGAGACAATATTGACGCTTGCCTTACAACACATTAAACACACTTGCTCTAAATTGTTACTCATCCTCTGTCGCACCTTATTATTTGTACCTTTATTTTTCCCTATATAACTAAATGACCTAACAAAAACAATGTCTGGCTTGTTGTTCGCTAAGACAGCCGACACACCGCCGCAGTGTGTAGCGCTGGTCGCTATATGTCAGGTACCACAGGCTCCGGATACAGCTACAGGATCTACAGGAATATTACTACACTGAACAGAGAATAATATAGGGGAATATTCAGACAGGTAATAAGCCGTGGGGGGTTATGTTAGTGTTAAAGGTGTATCAGCTTCTGCAGGGCCACCACAACAGTTTACTGAGCCACCAGTAAGTATACTTTAGTCGTGAGTGTTGTGGAGGACTAAAGTAAAGGCAGTCGGGCAACTCTAGAACTTTACTGAAGCCTTCGAGTATTCTGAACATAGGCTCTAAATGTTTCCGCCAGGACAGAGACGTTTGGGCACTTCGGTTTAGCTGATGCCTCTGCTCACTTAGCACCGAATAGGTAGTCAAGATATTTGCAAGCCATAACGCAAAATATGATTCAAAGTAATCGCTGCATACAAGGACGAAAGAAGTAATACGTCCCTTGTTTCCAGTGTTAATATCTCATATTCAGAACGGCCCAGGATTTCAGGGCAAAATAATATATTAGAGTAATAGGGGAGGCTTAAAATTATACTCCACGACTGGTTCCTTATTCGTGTACAACTGGTCCACAACTGGTTCGCCATTCGTGTACCACTGGTCCACAACTGGTCCACCAATACCCTTCTAAGACTACCACTGGCCCACAACCTTACTGTATATTAAATAAGTTTGAACATGTAATATGGTTTTTTCCTTAAAAAAAAAAAATTGCTTCATAAGAAACCAAATAACTTCTGCTGGCGGACACCCAAGCAACGCCTCACATATACAGAAATTGGCATATGAACATTAATCAAGATATGAGGATTTTATAAAGTCAGCTTATCTTGACAAATCTATGATACACTTAACATTTTATGTGGGGTAAATATTGGCATGTATTCTCTGACACATACTGTAGATACGTCTAGACACACACCTTATCAAAATATATATATTTGCAATAATTACAAATCCTCTATATACATAATACTAAATCTAATCTATACATATACTCACATACATTGTCATAAATGTGTCATGTGGGTACATTGTTGTCTCATGTGGATACATTGCTGTGTGTCTCATGTGGATACATACATTGTTGTGTGTCTCATGTGGATACATACATTGTTGTGTGTCTCATGTGGATACATACATTGTTGTGTCTCATGTGGGTACATTGTTGTGTGTCTCATATGGGTACATTGTTGTGTGTCTCATGTGGATACATACATTGTTGTGTGTCTCATATGGGTACATTGTTGTGTGTCTCATGTGGATACATACATTGTTGTGTGTCTCATATGGGTACATTGTTGTGTGTCTCATGTGGATACATACATTGTTGTGTGTCTCATATGGGTTCATTCATTGTCATAATGTGTCTCATGTGGATACATACATACATATGTGACTGAGAGATGGCGGTGGCTCAAGCCGTGGCATTGGCCTCCGTAGCTGCTAAACTCACCCTCTAAACATAAATATCAAAGTGTTGTTGTAGCTCCTCCAGGCTCGCACGCAACTCTGACACACGGTTAAGGGTACAATAACCGTGACAGGGTAAGGCCGTGCACAATGTTTTGCATCTTAATTCCATTACAGCTAAGTAAAGAGCTCATGAGAGTGATCCCTACGGCGCCTACTGCACTTGGTCGTCGTCAGGGTAAATCCTCCTGACTGAGTACGCAGAAGGGGAGGGAGTCAGGGTAAAAAGGGCGTGTTTGTTTAATGGAGATATAATATATATGAAAACATATATTAAAATTAAACGTCCATAAAAAAATACGAATTCGGATAACGTAGTGAGAGGTGAGTGAAGCCAATCTATCTTCCTGTTTAGTTGGTACCTATTGTGACGATCGTCAATAGTCACGAATTCGTACGTACTTAGATAGTAGTATACTGACTAATAAGGAAGTCTTTTAAAAAATGAAGCTAAAAAACAAACTTAAATATTCCTAGGCCTAGTATAGCACACATATATACTATATTAGGCCTCAGATATCGTGTATTAGGCCTAGGGAGGTTAGGTTAGTTTGTCAAAGCAACACAAGTAAAAAAAAACAGTTTTCCGGTTTGTCCAACTCAGTAGTTCTGATTTCTAGTTTCTAATTTCCTTGTTAGTCATTATATATACTATGGTCCTCATCGTTGCTATAAGTACTACCGAAACAGGAGGATGGGCTGGTGAAGAACAGTCTTGAAGAACGTGAAGGTTCTTGACGAACTTGGTAACTTTAACTGAAGATGTTCCCCCAGAACACTACAGCGGGAACCAGAAAGTTCAACTTAAGAGATTTTCGAAACCCAGGTCCTGGTCGAAGGCCAGGTCCTGGTCGAAGGCCAGGTCCTGGTCGAAGCCCAGGTCCTGGTCGAAGTTCAGGTCCTGGTCGAAGCCCAGGTCCTGGTCGAAGTCCAGGTCCTGGTCGAAGCCCAGGTCCTGGTCGAAGTTCAGGTCCTGGTCGAAGTTCAGGTCCTAGTCGAAGCCCATGTCTTGGTCGAAGGCCAGAACCTGGTCGAAGCCCAGGTCCTGGTCGAAGCCCAGGTCCTGGTCGAAGCCCAGGTCCTGGTCGAAGCCCAGAACCTGGTCGAAGTTCAGGTCCTGGTCGAAGTGAAACACTAAGGAAGGCAGCAAAGTCAAGATGCTCCAAGTCAAGGCGTTCCCACTCTTACGTCATAATAGTTTCGGATTCCTGAGAAAATAAAAGAAATACCTTATTAATATCGGTCGTTAAATTAACATTTTAAGACAAACATCTTCTGCATGAAAAGTTGTACATGTTAAATTGCCTAAGAAAAGCAGTGGTGATGGTAGAAACAGCACAGCAGGAGGAAAAAAACCAATCAACTCGAACTTAATCAAATCTTGGAAACCATAAATCAGACCAAATAATGTAACATTTAGAACAGGGATTCTTAACTCTTTTTTTTTAAGATTATAGACCCTCAAAGGATCTATACCCCCCCATCGCCAGGTCCACCACCAGTCCTCTTGGGTACCAACAGACCTTCAAAAGATGTCAATAGCTTGGTTTTACTTTGTGTGTGGATGGCGGGAAACAAAACAGCCTCAGTTCGTATTGATAACTATGAGTTAATTCTAATATGACAACTTTTTTTAAACTGCTCCCTAGAAACACAAACCGAAACTGTCTCTATTTTCCGCTTGTTACAACTTGTAATAAAGTTGTTACCTCTTGGCTTAACGTGTTTATGACGTATTAGAACGTTGTTACAACTTGCTATATTGGTTGTTATAACTGGTTAGGAGGTGTTAAAACTTGTTCGAACGTTGTACCAACGTCGTAGTTTCGGTGTGTGTTTGGCAACCTCAGAGATAAGAGTCCCACGTCCATATTATTTAGTTCCCATATTGTTAATGTCTTCGTGATATAATTTGTATAACATGGGCGACAAAAGGTAGGCATTAGACAGTATACTTCTGGATTTGCAGAAAGTATTTGATGGAATTCCTCATCAAAGACTTTTAAAATGAAATCACATAACACAGACGGTCGTGTACAAATTGCTAAAAATGATTATGTGAACACAACATTTAGGCCTATATGTGTATATGCGTAAGGTTGGATAGACGTTGCAAGTGGAGTGCCGCAAGGTTATCTTGAGATGAGGTTATCTTGAGATGATTTCGGGGCTTTTTTTTTTTTTAGTGTCCCCGCGGCCCGGTCCTCGACCAGGCCTCCACCCCCAGGAAGCAGCCCGTGACAGCTGACTAACACCCAGGTACCTATTTTACTGCTAGGTAACAGGGGCATAGGGTGAAAGAAACTCTGCCCATTGTTTCTCGCCGGCACCTGGGATCGAACCCAGGACCACAGGATCACAAGTCCAGCGTGCTGTCCGCTCGGCCGACCGGCTCCCTTGGTTTTACAAGGGAGTCGGTTTCTACAAGGGTCAGTCTTAGTTTCTGTACATGATATATATATATATATATATATATATATATAAATGATAATGTCTAACGCTGTACGATATAAACCTTTATCAATACCACTAAACGGAGGACAGACTCGTTCATGTCCATATTGGCAAACGCTGCAAAGTTAATGAGGAGAGTTAGGATAGAGGAAGACTGCAAGAGAACGCAAGAAAAATTAGACAAAAAAGGAGGGTCTGAAAGTGGCTTTTGGACTTTAACCTCGAAAACTGGAAAGTTATGAAAATGGAAGAATAGACTTGACGGCAGGAAGAGTATGAAGTAAACTTCTCACTTCAGAAGAAGAGATGACAGTCGACACAATACTGTCGTACATTAGACAGTCGACACAATACTGTTGACTGTACCTAATAGCCGAGAGGTCGACACAAGTGGTGCCAGAAGCACACATTACCAAGATAACGTCGACAGCATGTGCATAACCCGCCAATTATAAGTGTAGTTCAGATACCTAGATAAGCCTTTATTGCACGCACGTACATAATGTACGTCTGGTGTACACAACAGACGTGAGACCCATCCTGGAGGATGCAGCCCTCTGTGGTGTCCTCACTGGACACTAAAGCCCACTACGCCAAGAACAGGAGGAGCAGTGTGGAGACATGATAGCAACATACAAGGTTCTAAGGGAGGGAATCGACAAAGTGGACAAAGCAGCAATGCTAACAATGGGTAATAATGGAAATTGGAGACGCAAATGGGTAGAGTTTCTTGTACTTGATGCCTCTGTCCACCTGGTAGTAAATAGGAACCTGTGAGATAGACAACTGTTGCGGGTTGCATTCTGGGGGTATGTACTCACCTATTTGTGCCTGCAGGATCGAGGTCTAGCTCTTGTACCCCGCTTTTCTAGCCGTCGGGTTGTCTAATGCAATGACTCCTGACCTATTTATTATCATACCTTCTTTTTAAAGTTGTGAACTCAATTTGCTTTTACAACCTAGGGCCAGATTCACGAAAGCACTTACGAACCTGTACATCTTTTCACAATCTTTGGCGGCTTTGTTTACAATTATTAAACAGTTAATGAGCTCCGAAGCACCAGGAGGCTGTTTATAACAATAACAACAGTTAATCGGAAGTTTTCATGCTTTTAAACTGTATAATAAATGTAACCAAAGCCGTCAAAAATTGAGGAAAGTTGTACACGTTCGTAAGTGCTTGCGTAAGTGCCTTCGTGAATCTGGCCCCTGGTCGTGTAGGTCATTCCATTTACTCTCTACCCTTGAGATAAAGAAAACTTTCTAATATCTCTATGATATATCCGAGTCTCAAGCTTCCATCTGTGACCCCTTGTTCGAATGGTATTTATTGTAAACTTTTCCTCTCTTTCCACACTGTCAACCCCCTCTAAGTATTTTATACGTTTGTATCATGTCCCCCTCTCTCCCTCCTGCTTTCTAGCGTCGTCACGTTTTGTTCCTTCAGTCTCTCTTCATACCTCGTGTGTGTATTTACTATTTGTGCCTGCAGTATTGAGCTATTAGCTCTTGGACCCCGCCTTTCTAACCAATCTATTTTTCCTCTATTATATCAACTACTCTCTAACACACACACACATACACACACACACACACACACACACACACACACACACACACACACACACACACACACACACACACACACACACACACACACAGAGGGTGTTGAAACCTTGAAAAAACTACAGTCCAATTACCCAATCAAACATGAGAGGCAGGAAGGTTGTCAGAGAGGCCGCTAGCAGCTGACACATCGCACAAGTCATTAGTCGAATATTTGCTAAGCTGAATGTCACAATGGCACGACAGCTCATCGTTTATGAAAAGGCATATACTTCTCTCCGTTTTAATCAGTCTTATGACAGGCTGACGAACATCAGAATAGAGACGGGTGGGCACGTTATCTCTCACCTACTGCCTCTCTTCACCTAGCAGTAGATAGGTACCGGAACGGAACTAATAAGAGAAAGCGACAAGCCATTCCGACTATATAGCACTTGGAAGCGGTCAGGATAAGGGCGACGACGTTTCGGTCCGTCCTGGACCAATCACAAGTCGATTATCGACTTGAGAATGGTTCAGGACGGACCGAAACGTCGTCGTCCCTTCACCTTCTAGTGTGTGGTTTGGTCAACATTCTTCAGCCACGTTATTGTGACTCATCGCCTGTACAGGATAAGGAACTGGGATGGGACGGGGGATTTAGGAAACTGTTGTGGGAGGGGGTTGCATCCTGGGGAGGGTCATCCATAGTTTGGAACCTTGATAAGTCCCCAACTATGGAAGACCATAAAGAGATGACTTGAAGGAGGAGGAGGAAGCCCTCCCCTGCCCCCCCTCGGACCCACCTGGAACGTATCGCGCATGATGGGGTCGGGAGACATGTCGGAAATGAGCTGCATGTCCTTCAGATCCTGCTCTTGACCGTCGAGCTCTGGGGACCTGGCTGGCTCCTCCGTGTCTTGAGGCGAGGTCTCCTTCCCGTCGGGGTCTTCCCTCTCCTCCGTCGCCGAGTCACCCGCTACGCCTTCTGCAGGAAGAACTTTACTGAAGATATTGAGGCTGTGCAATTGGTTCGAACTCGCGTCCTTGGCCTCCTCGGGCTTCAATAAGTTGTCATTATGCAAGTTTATAGTTTAATGAACCTTCGCGACAAAAATATGGTTATTCCTTCATGAGTGCGTTCATTCTGCGTTCATGTGCGAGTTGATGTGTGCGTTCGTGTATGTGTTCAAAGGGCTATTGACTAGATGGTCCTCACTGTTGTACAGTTTCCTATGGTAGGTGAGAGGCTTGCACGAGAGGCCCAAGATTCCTATGGGAAGTGACTGTTGCATGCAGTAGTGAGATAAGGGAAGGTGACAGTTATGGCACGCTGGGTGAAAGTTTGTGAGAGCTGTGAGAGAAAGAGAGAGGGAGAGAGGGAGAGATGGAGGAACACGGATCAAACTACATTTAGGTTAGGATAGTTTTAGCTAAGTTAGGTGGTAGAGAGAGAGGACTGACCTTGGTCGGGGACGTCATCGCTGGCGTCCGCAGGCTGGGGAAAATCACGACAAATCTTAACACTAAATAAAACCTCATCCCATTTATTTTGGTCACTGATTAATTAACACAATAAAAAAAAGTCTGTTTGGGCAAGATATTAACACAGTAAACTAACAAGACTCTGGTCTGAGAGACGGTCAGGTAAACTAGCGGCCTCTAAGACCGGGAAGAAATAATTAGTTTGTTTCCCAGTATGACAGAGCAGGGGGATATTATTATATATCTCTGTTACTCGATTCTGTCTGTCTGTCTGTCTGTCTGTCTGTCTGTCTGTCTGTCTGTCTGTCTGTCTGTCTGTCTGTCTGTCTGTCTGTCTGTCTGTCTGTCTGTCTTGATCGATACATATCTCTCGTTCTTGATAGTCAGCCCAGTTTATGTACGAAGGTATATATTAGTCCCCCCCCCCCCCTTGCTGTTACCTGCAGGAGCGCCACCTGGCGGCATTATCACAAATTAGACTTAATTGAACTCGGGAATTTAAGACGTTGCGGTTTTTATATGTGCGCGCGCACACACACACACGCGCACACGTGCACACACGCGCACACACACACACACACACACACACGCGCACACACACGCGCACGCACACACACACACACACACACACACACACACACACACACACACACACACACACACACACACACACACACACACACACACACACACACACGCGCACACACACGCACACACACACACACACACACACACACACACACACACACACACACACACACACACACACACACACACACACACACACACACACACGCCAGACCTGTCTCCTGCAGCACATATCAAGAGGATAACATCAGCGGCATATGCCAGGCTGGCCAACATACGAACGGCATTCAGAAACTTGTGTAAAGAATCATTCAGAACTTTGTATACCACATATGTCAGGCCAATCCTGGAGTATGCAGCCCCAGCATGGAGTCCATATCTAGTCAAGGATAAGACTAAACTGGAAAAGGTTCAAAGGTTTGCCACCAGACTAGTACCCGAGCTGAGAGGTATGAGCTACGAGGAGAGACTACGGGAATTAAACCTCACTTCGCTGGAAGACAGAAGAGTTAGGGGGGACATGATCACCACATTCAAGATTCTGAAGGGGATTGATAGTGTAGATAAAGACAGTCTATTTAACACGGGTGGAACACGCACAAGGGGACACAGGTGGAAACTGAGTACCCAAATGAGCCACAGAGACATTAGAAAGAACTTTTTCAGTGTCAGAGTGGTTAACAAATGGAATGCATTAGGAAGTGATGTGGTGGAGGCTGACTCCATACACAGTTTCAAGTGTAGATATGATAGAGCCCGATAGGCTCAGGAATCTGTACACCAGTTGATTGACGGTTGAGAGGCGGGACCAAAGAGCCAGAGCTCAACCCCCGCAAGCACAACTAGGTGAGTACAGATATAGTGCACTTTGTACGCACATTCACGCACATTTTTAGGTCAGTAAATCCACTACCACATCACCACCACACCGCACTACCAGCCACACACCTACACGCGCACACGCGCACGCACCACACACACCTACCAGCGCACACGCGCACGCACCACAGCCATCACACGCGCACACGCACCTACCGCACACACACCTACACGCACCACCAGCCTTCACCACCACACACACACACACAGCCTTCACCACCACACACACACACACACACACACACACTACCAGCCACACCACCACACACACACACACCAGCGCGCGCGCGCGCACACCGCGCACCGCCTTCACACACCTACACCCACACACAGCCTTCACCACGCGCACGCACACACCAGCCTTCACCACACACACCCACACACCAGCCTTCACCACCACACCCACACCACCTTCACCACCACACACACACACCACACACACCACACACACCCACACACACACGCACACGCACACACACAGAGCAGGGTGGAACACGAACAAGGGGACACAGGTAGAAACTGAGTACCCAAATGAGCCACAGAGACATTAGAAAGAACTTTTTCAGTGTCAGATTAGTTAACAGGTGGAATGCATTAGGCAGTAATGTGGTGGAGGCTGACTCCATACACAATTTCAAATGTAACTATGACAGAGCCCAGTAGGCTCAGGAACCTGTATGCCAGTTGATTGACGGTTGAGAGGCGGGACCAAAGAGCCAGAGCTCAACCCCCACAAGCACAACTAGGTGAATACACGCACGAGAACGGGTAAAGTGGTGCTTAGCAGATATAGTGTTCGACTTTGTAAGCACATTCAAGTGAGTATTTTTAGGTCAGTAAATCCACCTACCAGCCATCACCACCTCCACCCACCTACCAGCCTTCACCACCTACACCCACCTACCAGCCCTCACCACCTACACCCACCTACCAGCCTTCACCACCTACCAGCCTTCACCACCTACCAGCCATCACCACCTACACCCACCTACCAGCCTTCACCACCTCCACCCACCTACCAGCCTTCACCACCTACACCCACCTACCAGCCATCACCACCTACACCCACCTACCAGCCTTCACCACCTACCAGCCTTCACCACCTACCAGCCATCACCACCTACACCCACCTACCAGCCTTCACCACCTACACCCACCTACCAGCCATCACCACCTACACCCACCTACCAGCCATCACCACCTACACCCACCTACCAGCCTTCATCACCTACACCCACCTACCAGCCATCACCACCTACACCCACCTACCAGCCATCACCACCTACACCCACCTACCAGCCTTCACCACCTACACCCACCTACCAGCCATCACCACCTACACCCACCTACCAGCCTTCACCACCTACACCCACCTACCAGCCTTCACCACCTACCAGCCATCACCACCTTCACCCACCTACCAGCCTTCACCACCTACACCCACCTACCAGCCATCACCACCTACACCCACCTACCAGCCATCACCACCTACACCCACCTACCAGCCATCACCACCTACACCCACCTACCAGCCTTCACCACCTACACCCACCTACCAGCCATCACCACCTTTATCGAATAACATTGATCCCAGCCGCCAGAGGGCCTCGTGCAATGTTCCATAATTACTAATGACTCGTTTTAAGAATGGAGGAATTTGGAACTAATCCAGCACTTGAGGAGAGTGCCGGCCGGCCCTTGCCCTTGCTAGCGTGAGAGCCTGTTATTAGCCTCAAGCGCGCGCGGAGTGCATCGATACTCGCAAACACTGTTTAGGGACCCTCGTCTTGTTTGAGGGCCCCCTCCCACCTTGAGGACTGGGATCATGGAAGCCTCCTCCACCTTGAGGACTGGGAGCAAGGAAGACCCTCCACCTTGAAGACTGGGAGCATGGAAGCCTCCTCCACCTTGAGGACTGGGAGCATGGATGCCTCCTCCACCTTGAGGACTGGGAGCAAGGAAGACCCTCCACCTTGAGGACTGGGAGCATGGAAGCCTCCTCCACCTTGAGGACTGGGAGCAAGGAAGACCCTCCACCTTGAAGACTGGGAGCATGGAAGCCTCCTCCACCTTGAGGACTGGGAGCATGGATGCCTCCTCCACCTTGAGGACTGGGAGCAAGGAAGACCCTCCACCTTGAGGACTGGGAGCAAGGAAGACCCTCCACCTTGAGGACTGGGAGCATGGATAACCCTCCACCTTGAGGACTGGGAGCAAGGAAGACCCTCCACCTTGAGGACTGGGAGCATGGATAACCCTCCACCTTGAGGACTGGGAGCATGGATAACCCTCCACCTTGAGGACTGGGAGCAAGGAAGACCCTCCACCTTGAGGACTGGGAGCATGGATAACCCTCCACCTTGAGGACTGGGAGCATGGATAACCCTCCACCTTGAGGACTGGGAGCATGGATAACCCTCCACCTTGAGGACTGGGAGCAAGGAAGACCCTCTACCTTGAGGACTGGGAGCATGGATAACCCTCCACCTTGAGGACTGGGAGCATGGATAACCCTCCACCTTGAGGACTGGGAGCAAGGAAGACCCTCCACCTTGAGGACTGGGAGCAAGGAAGACCCTCCACCTTGAAGACTGGGAGCATGGATGCCTCCTCCACCTTGAGGACTGGGAGCATGGAAGCCTCCTCCACCTTGAGGACTGGGAACATGGATAACCCTCCACCTTGAGGACTGGGAGCATGGATAACCCTCCACCTTGAGGACTGGGAGCAAGGAAGACCCTCCACCTTGAGGACTGGGAGCATGGATAACCCTCCACCTTGAGGACTGGGAGCATGGATAACCCTCCACCTTGAGGACTGGGAGCATGGATAACCCTCCACCTTGAGGACTGGGAGCATGGATAACCCTCCACCTTGAGGACTGGGAGCATGGAAGCCTCCTCCACCTTGAGGACTGGGAGCATGGATAACCCTCCACCTTGAGGACTGGGAGCATGGATAACCCTCCACCTTGAGGACTGGGAGCATGGATAACCCTCCACCTTGAGGACTGGGAGCATGGATAACCCTCCACCTTGAGGACTGGGAGCATGGATAACCCTCCACCTTGAGGACTGGGAGCATGGAAGCCTCCTCCACCTTGAGGACTGTGAATAAGAATAATCCTTCCGTCTTGAGTAAAGACAGCAAGGGAATAGCAATAATTTAATGAACACTCCCCCCCATATGCACATGGACTACGAAACATTTGGAAGAGAGTTCGATAATGGGCGGTGTGTGGGAGGGGCAGGTGCCCGCCACCCAGATCATAGCATGGGTAGGAGTCCACTACTCCTCCCCTCCTACCTCCCTACCTTCCCTCCCTACCTACCTACCTTCCCTCCCTACCTTCCCGCTCCCTACCTCCGCCTCCACTCGATATGCAGCGTCCTCAACCCGTGCCAGTTACTTCCGCCTACAGCGGCTGGTGGTGGTGGTGGTGGTGGTGGCCGGGCTGGAGGCCGGGGCGGGGTTCGATATTACAGCGGTTCAATGTACATTCGCCAATTCACTCCACCGTCTCACCCCCATACCAGGCTCCGTGGACTAGTAGGTCACGTCGGTCGTATTTCACCACCATGTGGCCTCATTGATACGCTTCCTTACTCTTGATTGTTGTGGCACACACACATTGTGTGTGTGTGTGTGTGTGTGTGTGTGTGTGTGTGTGTGTGTGTGTGTGTGTGTGTGTGTGTGTGTGTACTCACCTAATTGTGCTTGCGGGGGTTGAGCTTTGGCTCTTTAGTCCCGCCTCTCAACTGTCAATCAACTGGTGTACAGGTTCCTGAGCCTACTGGGCTCTATCATATCTACATTTGAAACTGTGTATGGAGTCAGCCTCCACCACATCACTTCCTAGTGCATTCCATTTATTAACTACTCTGACACTGAAAAAATTCTTTCTAATGTCTCTGTGGCTCATCTGGGTACTAAGTTTCCACCTGTGTCCCCTTGTTCGTGTCCCACCCGTGCTGAAGAGTTTGTCTTTGTCCACCCTGTCAATTCCCCTGAGAATTTTGTAGGTGGTTATCATGTCTCCCCTTACTCTTCTGTTTTCCAGGGATGTGAGGTTCAGCTCCTTTAGCCTTCCCTCGTAGCTCAATCCTCTCAGTTCCGGGACGAGCCTGGTGGCATACCGCTGAATCTTCTCTAACTTTGTCTTGTGTTTAACTAGGTATGGACTCCAGGCTGGAGCTGCATACTCCAGGATTGGTCTTACAATGTGTGTGTGTGTGTGTGTGTGTGTGTGTGTGTGTGTGTGTGGGGCTTGATTATTCTTTGATCTGACCGGCTTAGATGTTCAGTAGTCAAGTTCAAAAATAGTATTGACATCGCCTGTTGAACTGCTAGTTTAGTTTATTGTGTATAAGAAGCCTGTTATACGAGAAATTATTTGGAGCAGTTCCTGAGCCTGTTGTGTGCCTCTGTGACCTTCTCCACTACCCCTCATAGGATGGGTATGGGGGGTCCACTACCCCTCATAGGATGGGTATGGGGGGTCCACTACCCCTCATAGGATGGGTATGGGGGGTCCACTACCCCTCATAGGATGGGTATGGGGGGTCCACTACCCCTCATAGGATGGGTATGGAGGGTCCACTACCCCTCATAGGATGGGTATGGGGGTCCACTACCACTCACAGGATGTTTATGGGGTCCAATACCCCTAACAGGATGGGTATGGGGGTCCACTACCCCTCACAGGATGGGTATGGGGGTCCAGTACCCCTCACAGGATAGGTATGGGGGGTCCACTACCTCTCACAGGATAGGTATGTGAGTCCACTACCCCTCACAGGATGGGTATGGGGGTCCACTACCCCTCACAGGATGGGTATGGGGTCCAATACCCCTCACAGGATGGGTATGGGGGTCCACTACCCCTCACAGGATGGGTATGGGGTCCAATACCCCTCACAGGATAGGTATGGGGGTCCACAACCACTCACAGGATGGGTATGGGGGTCCACTACCCCTCACAGGATGGGTATGGGGGTCCACTACCCCTCACAGGATGGGTATGGGGTCCACTACCTCTCACAGGATGGGTATGGGGGTCCACTACCCCTCACAGGATGGGTATGGGGTCCACTACCGCCCACAAGATGACCATTGGGTCCACTACCGCCCATGACATGGGTATGGGGTGCATAATAATTGAACAAAATCAAAATACATATCCCTGTGAGGACAAGGGTTCATAACAAGGCCATCCCGATGGGTATTAATACACAATTTTATTTATTGCGTGTGTGAACGAGCTTGAGAAAATACACACACACACACACACACACACACACACACACACACACATACACACACACACACACACACACACACACACACACACGCACGTAGGGAGAGTTAGGTCTAACTTAGGTAAGGTTAGGTAGACAGGTTCTGTTGGCATTTTCAGTACAGGGGAAGCAGCAGCTGTCTGGCTATCGTGACTCAGGGCGGGAACAGAATATGTCACAGTAAATACTTGATGCCGTGACCCGCGTGAGGGGGCGGTAACCTATATGAGGCCCGCAAGGCTATCTCAACTCCCACCTTCAAGACTCGTCAAGAATTTCCGTGTCCAATTGCGGAACTTGTACATCTTTCAACGATCATGGCGCTGCTTAGTATGTATTTATCAATCACTTTATGAGCTTGGAAACCTCACAATCCAAGGTTATTATTGTTATAGGCAACCTCTTGTAGCACTTGGTAGCTCGCAAACTGTTTACGAAATGGAGCCGTGAGTACGGGAAGATGTACTGGGGCCAGATTCACGAAGGAGTTACGCAAGTACTTACAAACATGTACATCTTTCCTCAATCTTTGACGGCTTTGGTTACATTTATTAAACAGTTTACAAGCATGAAAACTTGCCAATCAACTGTTGTTATTGTTATAAACAGCCTCCTGGTGCTTCGGAGCTCATTAACTGTTTAAAAATTGTAAACAAAGCCGCCAAAAATTGAGAAAAGATGTACAGGTTCGCAAGTGCTTGCGCAACTGCTTCCAGAATCTGGGCCCTGGTTTCGTAAAGTGGTCACAAGTGACTGATAAATCCTGACATGTTGCTATCTTTTGTTGGGCGCCATTTGTCTCGTTCTGTGTCTTCTCCTGTGTCTTCCTCACTACTGGTGGACATTGTCTCTCACTCTTTCTCCTCGCAGTTGTGTCCTCATGTTCTAGCACTTGATTGTGTGTGTGTTCCTTCTCTCTCATTGTCGGCATACGCTTCATATTTCTCATTTTCTTTAGGTCTTCGTGTTCTATCTCAGTTGTTGGTCCCTCCAAGCCCGCAATGTATATATTTTGCCTTCTTCCTGCTTCTCTTTCCTTTATCATGTTCTCTCTCCCTCTCTATTCACCTTTCTTTCTTCTCCCTGCTTCCCCTGCACCTTCTCTACCTTCTTCCCTACTTTCCCCCACTCGTTCCCTTCCCCTGCCTCCCGTCGCTGCCTCCCGAGGGCCCGTCCTTACCTTGTCGTGGCCGAGGAGAGAAGCCGTGGCGATCCGGTTGATCCTGAAGTCCTCGGCCTGCTCCTCCTGCAGCACCTCCAGCACCGCCTCCCTCACCGTGCGACTCACCAGCGCCGCCACCATCTCCTCCTCCTCGTCGATGGCGTCCAACTGCAACCACACAAACACACCTATAAGACACCCATTCCAGCCCCCCTTAAGGAACCTTGAACCCTCAAGGCAATGTTAAGCTTCATCACCTCAGTTCTCCACAACAACAAGTTATGCAGGCGAGGAGTCACAATAACGTGGCTGAAGTAAGTTGACCAGACCACACACACTAGAAGGTGAAGGGACGACGACGTTTAGGTCCGTCCTGGACCATTCTCAAGTGGGTTGAGAATGGTCCAGGACGGACCGAAACGTCGTCGTTCCTTCACCTTCTAGTGTGTGGTGTGGTCAGCAACAAGTTATAATCAACTCGGTCCCTAGTCATGTAGGGATCCATGGAAACTAACTAGCGGATAAATTAGAAAATAATAATAATAATAATAATAATAAAGCTGATCTGTATACCAGCTGTGGGATAACACAGTCTGCTGTAACACCGGGTACAGAGAGGTTATCCTCAGGTACAGAGCACCAAGTTTCAGGCCAGACACCACCAGAGGGCAGGCTCGAACCCGCCAAACACACACCGAAACTACGACGTTGGTACAACGTTCGAACACGTTTTAACACCTCCTAACCAATTATAACAACTAATATAGCAAGTTGTAACAACGTTCTAATACGTCATAAACACGTTAAGCCAAGTTGTAGCAACTTTATTACAAGTTGTAACAAGCGGAAACTAGAGACAGTTTCGGTTTGTGTTTCCAGGGAAGTTGTCACGTCTGGCCTCCAATCAATGATATACACCGGTAACTTTACCTTTGTCAAGTGACTGTTGCCTTTGTAAAGTAATTGTCAGGAGAGTAAGCCATTACGGTAATATAACGTAATTGATGAGGATGTACGCATTCGGGTTGGGACGGAGGGAAGGAATGGTACCCAAGGGAAGCCGGTGGCTGAGCAGACAGAACACTGCACGTGTGATCCTGTGGTCCCGGGTTCGATCCCGGGCTCCGGCGAGAAGCAATGGGCAAAGTTTCTTTCACCCTGATGCCCCTGTTACCTAGCAGTAAACAGGTACCTGGGAGTTAGTCAGCTGTCACGGGCTGCTTCCTGGGGGTGGAGGCCTGGTCGAGGACGGGGCCGTGGGGACACTAAAGCCCCGAAATCATCTCAAGATAACCTCAAGATAACCGCTGGGAGGGTCGCCTGCCATCGTTCGCTGGCCGAGGCCCAATATTGGATGACAGCAGAGACGTGTGCATGAAGAAAGCGTTAAACCACCTATTCACTAAGGTCCTGTTTTCTATATGGGGGCCACGCACGCTCACCCTTTGTGTCTGGTTCGCACATTATGGTGATGGGTGCAAGGCTGGGAGGAGGTACTCGGCCCTCGGCCAGGAAGGTACTCGACCCTCGGCCAGGAAGGTACTCGGCCCTCGGCCAGGAAGGTACCCGACCCTCGGCCAGGAAGGTACTCGACCCTCAGCCAGGAAGGTACTCGACCCTCGGTGTGGAAGGTACTCGACCCTCGGTGTGGAAGGTACTCGACCCTCAGCCAGGAAGGTACTCGACCCTCAGCCAGGAAGGTACTCGACCCTCGGTCAGGAAGGTACTCGACCCTCGGCCAGGAAGGTACTCGACCCTCGGCCAGGAAGGTACTCGACCCTCAGCCAGGAAGGTACTCGACCCTCGGTCAGGAAGGTACTCGACCCTCAGCCAGAAAGGTACTCGACCCTCAGCCAGAAAGGCCGACGACCTCGGCCAGGAAGGTACTCGACCCTCAGCCAGGAAGGTACTCGACCCTCGGCCAGGAAGGTACTCGACCCTCGGCCAGAAAGGTACTCGACCCTCAGCCAGAAAGGCCGACGACCTCGGCCAGAAAAAAACATATGCCTCCCCCCCCCCTGCCAGCCAGCCAGGAGGGGACCCACACTCCGAGGTTACATAATCGTTATGAACACACATAAAAAAAAAAAATCCCAGGAACTTGACATTGAAGTTCAGGAGTTTCGGAGAAGTTGTGTCAGCCAGGCGGGGGGGGGGGGGGGTGAGGGGGGGAGGGGGGGGGAGGTGTGGGGTTGGGGGGGGGGGCGAAATATATGACTATTTGTCCACTTCAATCACCGCTTGGCAACACGGACCTCCTCTGTTCCGTCTTAGAACACATGTGACTAGATTAACTTGACCAATAAACATAGTTTATATATATTAACACAATTTAACCGCACGACCGTGGATAATAATAACATTTCATTCATTAGGGTGCTATAGGAGCCTTGAACCACCGACCCCAGGAGTTCATATATATATATATATATATATATATATATGTCGTACCTAGTAGCCAGAATGCACTTTTCGGCCTACTATGCAAGGCCCGATTTGCCAAATAAGCCAAGTTTTCCTGAATTAATATATTTTCTCTAATTTTCATCTAATGAAATGATAAAGCTACCCATTTCATTATGTATGAGGTCAATTTTTTTTATTGGAGTTAAAATTAACGTAGATATATGACCGAACCTAACCAACCCTACCTAACCTAACCTAACCTATCTTTATAGGTTAGGTTAGGTTAGGTAGCCGAAAAGGTTATGTTATGTTAGATTAGGTAGGTTAGGTAGTCGAAAAACAATTAATTCATGAAAACTTGGCTTATTAGGCAAATCGGGCCTTGCATAGTAGGCCAAAAAGTGAGTTCTGGCTACTAGGTACGATATATATATATATATATATATATATATATATATATATATATATATATATATATATATATATATATATATATATATATATATATGTCGTACCTAGTAGCCAGAACGCACTTCTGAGCCTACTATGCAAGGCCCAATTTGCCTAATAAGCCAAGTTTTCATGAATTAATTGTTTTTCGACTACCTAACCTACCTAACCTAACCTAACCTAACTTTTTCGGCCACCTAACCTAACCTAACCTATAAAGATAGGTTAGGTTAGGTTAGGTAGGGTTGGTTAGGTTCGGTCATATATCTACGTCAATTTTAACTCCAATAAAAAAAAGTTGACCTCATACATAATGAAATGGGTAGCTTTATCATTTCATAAGAAAAAAATTAGAGAAAATATATTAATTCAGGAAAACTAGGCTTATTAGGCAAATCGGGCCTTGGAAAGTAGGCATAGAAGTGCGTTCTGGCTACTAGGTACGACATATATATATATATATATATATATATAAGGAGGAGGCCTACTCGGTGGCTGAATGGACAGCACTCGGGAGTCGTAATCCTAAGGTAGGACTACGAACTCCGCCGGCTTCGATCCCCGGCGGAGATGGAAACAATTGGGCAGACTTCCTTTCCCACTGATACCCCTGTTCACCTAGCAGTAAATAGGTACCTGGGAGTTAGACAGCTGCTACGGGCTGCTTCCTGGGGATGTGTATGCGTGTGTTAGAGAGAAATATATGTAGTAGACATAAAAATAGATTGGTTAGAAAGGCGGGGTCCAAGAATCTTTGCCAAGTAAGTCTTGTAGTAAATGTTATCCCAGACGAGGTACACAAAACGCAAACAGCAATAGCTTCGGTGTTTGCCTGTAGCGTGTTTGCTTGTTCAGCTTTATGTACTCGTGTGTTTTAAGTTCCTTACCGCTGAGGCTTTATAAAGTTCCAGATTACATCTGTCCGTTCTCGGTCAAATATGTTTCTTAATCCTGGCTGTCTTTGTCCTCTGGTCTAAACACCTGCCGTCAGGAGGTGATGGACACTCCTATTGGTGTTTTGAACAATACGTTGATCATATTCTACCTCCAGTACCCTTCTCCTGCCTCCAGTACCCTTCTCCTGCCTCCAGTACCCTTCTCCTGCCTCCAGTACCCTTCTCCTGCCTCCAGTACCCTTCTCCTGCCTCCAGTACCCTTCTCCTGCCACCAGTACCCTTCTCCTGCCACCAGTACCCTTCTCCTGCCTCCAGTACCCTTCTCCTGCCTCCAGTACCCTTCTCCTGCCTCCAGTACCCTTCTCCTGCCTCCAGTACCCTTCTCCTGCCTCCAGTACCCTTCTCCTGCCTCCAGTACCCTTCTCCTGCCTCCAGTACCCTTCTCCTGCCTCCAGTACCCTTCTCCTGCCTCCAGTACCCTTCTCCTGCCTCCAGTACCCTTCTCCTGCCTCCAGTACCCTTCTCCTGCCTCCAGTACCCTTCTCCTGCCTCCAGTACCCTTCTCCTGCCTCCAGTACCCTTCTCCTGCCTCCAGTACCCTTCTCCTGCCTCCAGTACCCTTCTCCTGCCTCCAGTACCCTTCTCCTGCCTCCAGTACCCTTCTCCTGCCTCCAGTACCCTTCTCCTGCCTCCAGTACCCTTCTCCTGCCTCCAGTACCCTTCTCCTGCCACCAGTACCCTTCTCCTGCCTCCAGTACCCTTCTCCTGCCTCCAGTACCCTTCTCCTGCCTCCAGTACCCTTCTCCTGCCTCCAGTACCCTTCTCCTGCCACCAGTACCCTTCTCCTGCCACCAGTACCCTTCTCCTGCCTCCAGTACCCTTCTCCTGCCTCCAGTACCCTTCTCCTGCCTCCAGTACCCTTCTCCTGCCTCCAGTACCCTTCTCCTGCCTCCAGTACCCTTCTCCTGCCTCCAGTACCCTTCTCCTGCCTCCAGTACCCTTCTCCTGCCTCCAGTACCCTTCTCCTGCCTCCAGTACCCTTCTCCTGCCTCCAGTACCCTTCTCCTGCCTCCAGTACCCTTCTCCTGCCTCCAGTACCCTTCTCCTGCCTCCAGTACCCTTCTCCTGCCTCCAGTACCCTTCTCCTGCCTCCAGTACCCTTCTCCTGCCTCCAGTACCCTTCTCCTGCCTCCAGTACCCTTCTCCTGCCTCCAGTACCCTTCTCCTGCCTCCAGTACCCTTCTCCTGCCTCCAGTACCCTTCTCCTGCCACCAGTACCCTTCTCCTGCCTCCAGTACCCTTCTCCTGCCTCCAGTACCCTTCTCCTGCCTCCAGTACCCTTCTCCTCCCTCCAGTACCCTCCAGTACCCTCCTGTTGGTCAGGAACATACACGAGCCTCGTCCTTGTTACGAGGCGGGGTCTTGTAAGAGTCTGGTGGATCGTGCATTCAACAATTGTAATTAAGTAATTAAAGATACAAATAACTTTGTCCCCAACAATTAACTAGTCAAGAAGTCTGAAACTAACTACAAGTGCGGCGTGGCACCTGTAGTTAGTGATACACCTGTCGCAGGTGCCGCTACACCCAGGACACCCACCTCTGACTCGTAGACCTGGGTGTGGGCGTCGACCCCTGGCGGGGAGTGGAACATGACGGGGGGCGCCGCCCCCTCCTCTCCCCAGTACTCCGTCTGCACCTCCGCCTCCGACTCTGGGGGGCGCTCCAGCTGCGGGGGGAGAGAGAGAGAGGCGGGGCGGTGAGTAACAGGGTGATGAGTAAAGCAAGAGTGAGTCTAAGAGGGGTGAGTCGGCCAGGAAGCTTAAAGTCGCCATGATTTGAAGATGTATAGGTTTCGTAAGGGGGGGGGGGGCAGGCACTCACCGGTTCGTAGTAGTTCTCGGTCTGGACGAGGGCGTGGGAGCGCGGGTAGTGCCTGCCGCTGGCGGCGTGGGAGGCGTAGAGGGAACCCATCCCGGCACCAGGGTTGTCGCGTCGCAATCTGGCCCGCGCCTCCAACTTCTCCCGGAACTCCTGGCGCCGCTGGTGCTGATGCTGCATCTCCGGCTCCATCTGCTCGTGCTGTAAGGGAGGGGGTCGAACCCGGGTCACAGTGGGTTGATCTCTCTCTCTCTCTCTCTCTCTCTCTCTCTCTCTCTCTCTCTCTCTCTCTCTCTCTCTCTCTCTCTCTCTCTCTCTCTCTCTCTCTCTCTCTCTCTCTCTCTCTCTCTCCCCCCCACACACACACACTCAGACTTGGGAGAAAACACAGAAAATAAATCATGTAATTGTAAACATTCACTGAGAATCCTTACACTGACACGTGCAAGAATGGTCACTTCTCAAAGTGACCATTCTTCTTCCAATCTGCAGACAAACGTGGTACAGACAGACTCTGCTTCTCGCAAGTACAGCAGAACTGTGTGTGTGTGTACCTGGCACGGTGCTGCTCTATGGGAGTAACACATGCTAATTATTGCAACATTAAATTAAGATACATTGTCTACTGTATATACTATGTCTATACTGTATATACTGTATTGTCTACTGTATATATACATTGTTTACTGAACCATGGGCTGCTGCATCCCTTTGAACCTTTGAATCTCTTAATGTTGGTATGAGACTGATCTGGGACTTGACTTGATCCATCATTCTCCGGACAGTCTTCTTCCTAGGTTCTAATTTGTGCTTTTATTTCCCAGGTAGTCCCTTATTCTGGCGTAGTTCCCTTTTCTGGTGTCTACTTACCCTGTGTGTGTGTGTGTGTGTGTGTGTGTGTGTGTGTGTGTGTGTGTGTGTGTGTGTGTGTGTGTGTGTGTGTGTGTGTGTGTGTGTGTGTGTGTGTGTGTGTGTGTGTGTGTGTGTGTGTGTGTGTGTGTGTGTGTGTGTGTAGCACGCACCTATAAGATATCCTCTCCTCTTGGAAAGCTCGAAATATTAGTGAATGCCATATATATCTTGACTCAAGATATCAGGAGTCATCATAGTGTCATCTGGTGTCATGGCAAGCTATCAGACGAGATATCTGGTGTCATGGCAACACCAGAGGTGTACATCAGGGTATTCCCCAAGACACATTTACATCTTACGAAATCGTGGCTTAATACCTGGGGGCAAAGTGAACCTAAGACAGGTAAATTTCGGCACGATGCCTGGGTACGATACCTGGGGCATGGTAATGCCTGACACAATGCCTGGACACTACATAAGGCACTGTAAACCTAGGAATGGTAAACCAGGTCAACAATATCTGTCTCGGGGGACTGAGAGGAAGGTCCGTCCCAGCAGCCTCTTCAATGCCTCTCACACTCACCTGTTCCAAGGAGCGAGCATTGGTGAAGTAAGGATTCCATTTAGGATGATCCTGTGAGCAGGATGCCCCCACCAACAACAGCAGGAGGGGCAGCAGCAGCAGCAGCAGCAGCAGCAGGGAGGGCAGCAGCAGTAGCAGCAGGATAAGGAATAAGGAGAGGCGTGGGACAGGAGAAAACGGGATAAGAGAGATATTAGAAAAACAATCCTCTTGGTAAAAAGATTTGTTTGTAAACAAAACTGAGTAAGAAAATGGGAAATTTAAATTCAAAATATGGATAACTTTAAAGTAATTCGAATACATCAATAAGACTAGAGAGGAATAATTGAAATGAAAGAGATAGAGGGAATAAGATGAAAGAGAGAGAGAGAACAATTATTTAAACTCTACATATCTATACTATAGAACTATGCAGCATAGCTTCACTATAAACTACAGCATACAATCAAGAGCCCAATCAGCTCCACGAGACGAGTGGGAAAAAATATGACAATCAGAATTTCAAACAATATTTAAGTTAAAAAAAACTGACTTGTAGAATCATCAGTGTCCACATTCCCCTCATGTAGCAGTCTTCAAGGAGCTGAGGAGCTCCTTCTAAGTACCGTATCAAGCACGACATGACAGGGAACTACGGAGACGTAGTTCCCAAGTACATGATGTTGAGAAAAATCCTCCATGTCTCATAGATCACAGATTGCGATATGAAGACCCTGGAAGAATTACAATTCCAGGTAGGATGTGCTTCGAGAATCCCTCGTTCTGTTGGTCTAACGTGATGAAAGTGATTCGTTAATGACTGTCGCGAGAGGGAAAGTTCCCATTACTGGCATGGTTAGGTAGTTAGCGGCCAAGATGGTGATTACAGTGAGGACAGTGGAAAGGCCTCGATAAGCTGGGATGTCGGATTTACGGTCTTTGGTGAGTGATTATTGGGGATAATTATTGACTGTTTATGTGTGTGGGGGAGGGGGGGGGGGGTGTTTGCGTGGGTGTGAGTATTGTGCCTGCAGGATCAAGCTGTTAGCTCTTGGACCCCGCCTTTCTAACCGTCGGTTGTGAAATGTACTGTACTCCAGTACAGTAATATACTGACCTATTTTCTTCTACACATATTCTCTCTCTCTCTCTCTCTCTCTCTCTCTCTCTCTCTCTCTCTCTCTCTCTCTCTCTCTCTCTCTCTCTCTCTCTCTCTCTCTCTCTCTCTCTCTCTCTCTCTCTCTCTCTCTCTCTCACGCACACACACACACACAGCAAAGCGAACAGAGATTTGAGAGGTCGTTGTTCTAAGGGCCCAGGTTTGATTCGCGATCAAGGCAGAAACACAGCTGCAGAGTTAACTCATCTGATGCCCCTGTTCACCTGTCAGTAAATAGGTACCTGGGAGTTAGACAGCTGCTACGGGTTGCATCCTGTGTGTGTGTGTGTGTGTGTGTACTCACCTAGTTGTACTCACCTAGTTGTGCTTGCGGGGGTTGAGCTCTGGCTCTTTGGTCCCGCCTCTCAACCGTCAGTCAACAGGTGTACAGGTTCCTGAGCCTATTGGGCTCTATCATATCTACACTTGAAACTGTGTATGGAGTCAGCCTCTACCACATTGTTTCCTAATGCATTCTATTTGTCAACCACTCTGACACTAAAAAAGTGTGTGTGTGTGTGTGTGTGTGTGTGTGTGTGTGTGTGTGTGTGTGTGTGTGTGTGTGTGTGTGTGTGTGTGTGTGTGTGTGTGTGTGCGTGTGTGTGTGTAAGAAATTTCTAGTTGTAAGAAATATATAGTCAATATGAGTCATAGATACTGACTGAGGAAAATATGCAGACGATGAGTCACAATAACGTGGCTGAAGCATGTTGACCAGACCACACACTAGAAGGTGAAGGGACCATTCTCAAGTCGACTGTGATTCTCACAATCGACTTGAGAATGGTCCAGGACGGACCGAAACGTCGTCGTCCCTTCACTTTCTAGTGTGTGGTCTGACCAACGAGGCAAATAATGTCCGGAGTCAGTACATTAGACAACCGACGGTTAGAAAGGTGGGATCCAAGATCTGTAACAGCTCGATTATAGGGGGTCGTGAGGGCTGTAGTTATAGGGTAGTTAGGGTTGTAAGGTCATTTTTAAGGGTTGTTTATAGTGGTAAGGGTCTTTGGAGGAGGGAGGGCATGAGGGGTGATGATAAATGACCTCTCCTCCCTTCCTCCAGTACAAGTCTCGCCTCTCTAATATAATTAACGTACATTTCCTGCACTAAGACTTCAAATTAACCTTCAAGGCCTCGCGGAGAAAACGGGTTGTGGGGAGTAAATTGCGTTAAGCGTCGTTAATCTCCCTCCGGTTAGTGGGATACGCCTCCAAACGCTTAGATAATTAGCAAAGAAGCCAATAATTAAATTCATGAATTGCCTCGGTCAAGTAACTGAGACGGAAGGGCTATAATTGCTTCTACTTAGCCCAAATCAGCGGCCAGTTATGTGGGAATTTCCCCCCCCCCCCTTAAGTGTATATCAGGCAAAGGGGAATAATGTAAGACTTATAACACTACTGAGAATGGATGAATAGTCTCCTGACGTTGAAGGGACTTTACGTAAGTGACTTGAGTCATGCACGAGTGAAGAATCGCGTACAGTCTGAGGAGTGAATTAAATGGTGAATACTCATCGCTGCTCACCCAACCATGCTGGAGCTATAAGGGTCAAGTTCATGACCTGAGAAGGCTTCGAGCCACACGTACATTGCTAATCCTAAATGATAGACTCGAGTGATACCTGGCTACACCTAGCGAAGAGGCCTCTTGTGTCTCTGGAGCTAGACTCAAGAGACGAGTTTAAGAGATGAGTAGAGATGAGTAATACTCACGTCGCTGTCGAGGCGCTTGGCGTAGTTGGATCCTCTAACAACCCGGCGGTCGTACATCGGGTTGCCATTGCCTCTGGTGGTGGAGATAATTGGTTGTTAGGAGAGGGAATTATTAAGGGAAAGCGCCAAGCCATTACGGCTATATAGCATTTGGAAAGTGGGGAGGGGGGTCAGGATAAGGATTTGGGATGGGATTAGGGATGACATGAGCATTGGAATACCACTCCCTCAATATAAGGTGTGTGTGTGTGTGTGTGTGTGTGTGTGTGTGTGTGTGTGTGTGTGTGTGTGTGTGTGTGTGTGTGTGTGTGTGTGTGTGTGTGTTTTAAATCCCCCCAAATAACTTACCTGGGCATACACTTCTCTTTGTATACTGTGTGTATTAAAAACCGTGAAACGAAATTACGAAAGTTGTACAGCACTAGACGCCATTCTCCCTGGATTGTTGTTGTTGTTCAAGATTCGCTACCTGGAACATAAAGTTCCAAGTAGCACGGGCTATGGTGAGCCCGTAATTTCTCCCCTGAGCTCTTCACGTCTAAACAAAACAAAACCCATAAATTACTTGAACTCGCGCGCAGAACTACCAACTGTACCAGATGACCCCAGCTGAGACATGACCTTGAGTCGACTACGACAGCGTGACCCCTTCAAGTATTGATAAATCCGGTTTTCTCAAAAACCCGAATCGGATTTATCAAGTATTCATAAATCCGGTTCGAGTTTTTTTGCGTTTCTAATAGTGTGTGTGACTTGAGTTTCACCTATGATAAGATATTAAACACGTTACGTGATGATATATTAACTTGCTTTTTGATATATAGTCAATACTCTGCTATAGCATATAGGAACAGGACTTTCTAAAGCTTTCATCTATAGCTAACGGGCTATAGCAGAAGGTGTCATCTTTTGCAGCCCAACCTCCTGGGGCCAGATTCACGAAAGCACTTACGCAAGCACTTACGAACGTGTCCATCTTTCCTCAATCATTGACGGCTTTGGTTACATTTATTAAACAGTTTACAAGCATGAAAACTTGCCATTCAACTGTTGTTATTGTTATAAACAGCCTCCTGGTGCTTCGGAGCTCATTAACTGTTTAATAATTGGAAACAAAGCCGCCAAAGATTGAGAAAAGATGTATAGGGGCCAGATTCACGAAAGTACTTACGCAAGCACTTACGAACGTGTACATCTTTCCTCAATCTTTGGCGGCTTTGTTTACAATTATTAAACAGTTAATGAGCCCCGAAGCACCAGGAGGCTGTTTATAACAATAACAACAGTTGATTGGCAAGTTTTCATGCTTGTAAACTGCTTAATAAATGTAACCAAAGCCGTCAAAGATTGAGGAAAGATGTACAGGTTCGTAAGTGCTTGCGTAAGTGCTTTCGTGAATCTGGCCCCTGTTTTGGTAATACTTATAGTAACGATGAGAATCATCTGAGGTTATCTTGAGATGATTTCGGGGCTTTAATGTCTCCGCGGCCCGGTCCTCGACCAGGCCTCCACCCCCAGGAAGCAGCCCGTGACAGCTGACTAACTCCCAGGTACCTATTTACTGCTAGGTAACAGGGGCATTTAGGGTGAAAGAAACTTTGCCCATTTGTTTCTGCCTCGTGCGGGAATCGAACCCGCGCCACAGAATTACGAGTCCTGCGCGCTATCCACCAGGCTACGAGGCCCCCATAGGCACTCTAGAACAACCATAGTACATATACCGACATACAACGAAATTAGAAAGTAGAAATCTCAACTATTGCGTGTCCTCTGCGGCCTCCTAGTCCAGAGGTCCAGTCAATGAAGGGAAAGGCGGATTCTGAGGGCCTGCCAGCTGAGTGGACAGCGCTTCGGACTCACAGTCCTGAGGTTGCGGGTTCGATCCCCGGTGGAGGTGGAGACAAATGGGCAGAGTTTCTGTCACCCTGTTATCTAGCAGTAAATAGGTACCTGGGAGTTAGACAGCTGCTACGGGCTGCTTCCTAGGGGGTGTGTAGCAAAAAAGGAGGCCTGGTCGAGGACCGGGCCGCGGGGACGCTAAGCCCCGAAATCATCTCAAGATAACTTCAAGATAGAGCGAGTTGGACAAACCGGAAAACAATTTTTTACTTGTGTTGTTTTGACAAATTAAACTAAGATAACCTAACCTCCTTAGGCCTAATATATGATATCTGAGGCCTAATATAGTACATATGTGTACTATACTAAGCCTAGGAATATTTAAATTTGTGTTTTAGCTTCATTTATTTTAAAAGAATGCCTTACTAGTCAGTATCCTACCGTCTAAAAACTAAGAACGTACGAATTCTGACTATTGACGATAGTCACAATACGTACTATCTAAAGCGGAGGATGGGTCGGCTTTTGATATAGTGTCCTAGCCGAACCCTGTCAAAAATGAGACTATAAATACCTGGTTTTCGAAGTACTGTGTAATTATTTTTGCTATTAAAGTACAAATAAAAAGCCAATGTGCATGGAAGGTACGTATAGTGAGGTGTGAGTACACCGTCACCGTGGAGGGCTCGCGTGTTGAAGCTGAACCAGTACTTGTAGTGACCAGAGTGAACCAGTAAACTGGGACCCATAGTTACTACCGTGAACCAGTCAAGCCACACACGGTAGGGGGCTAGAGTACATCTTTGTGGTAGCTTCACCCTCCCCACCACCACCAGGGAGGTGTGTGTGTGTGTGTATGTGTACTGTAAAGTGTGTGTGTGTGTGTGTGTGTGTGTGTGTGTGTGTGTGTGTGTGTGTGTGTGTGTGTGTGTGTGTGTGTGTGTGTGTGTGTGTGTGTGTGTGTGTGTATGTGTGTGTGTGTATGTGTACTGTAAAGTGTGTGTGTGTGTGTGTGTGTGTGTGTGTGTGTGTGTGTGTGTGTGTGTGTGTGTGTGTGTGTGTGTGTGCGTGCGTGCGTGTGCGTGTTCAATTACTATTGCATTTTGTGCGTATGTGCCTGAGAAGTAATCTTACAGGTTACATGTGTACTTCTGCTTTGTGAGTGTGTATGTTTTTATTAATGCGTGCGTTTGTGCGCGCACACACACACACACACACACACACACACACACACACACTTTACAGTACACACACACACTTGTTGCTGGCGCGTATGTTTATGTGTATGATGAGGTGGGGGGTGGGGGGGGGAGGGAAGCACCAGTAGGTATAGTGACACATGTATCGACGAGTGTCACTTCTCACGTGGAAGTGTTGGCACTCCTGCAGGGTCCACCAGCCACCCTGGCGACGCAGTGTTGCCAATAATACAAATAATTGTATTACAATACTCGTATTAATTGTGTTACAATTCACCTCAAGGCTAAGATTTATCAAGAATCTCCATTCACGAAACCTGTAGATCTTCTCCTCAATCTTTATTTACACTTATTACTCATTGTAAGTGGCTCGAAGCGCTACGATGGTGCTTAATAGCAATAACTGGGTTGTTTATTTTCGAACTGGTAAACTGGTTAATAAATGTAAATAAAAGGAAAGATGCACAGGTTTCGTAGATGGTTAAGTGCTTGACGAGTTGTGACTGCCAGGGGACAGGGGACACCAGCTCGTCATATATGGACAGGGTTTTTTTCTGAATTCAGTTTGATCTTTAGTTCTTTTTTCTGAAGAAGAATGTATAATTGTAAGGTGCGGTGGTAAATCCTGGGTGACCTCTTCCCGGGTTCTTGTGCGTCACTCCCTTCTCTCTCTGTGGTCCTCCTCCGGTCCGTCAGGCGCCACTCCCCCCCTGTCCGTCAGGCGCCACTCCCCCCCTGTCCGTCAGGCGTCACTGCCCCCCTATCCGTCAGGCGTCACTCCCCCCCTGTCCGTCAGGCGCCACTGCCCCCCTGTCCGTCAGGCGTCACTCCCCCCTGTCCGTCAGGCGCCACTCCCCCCTATCCGTCAGGCGCCACTCCCCCCTATCCGTCAGGCGCCACCCCCCCCCCTATCCGTCAGGCGCCACTCCCCCCCCCCCCTGTCCGTCAGGCGCCACTCCCGCCCCTGTCCGTCAGGCGCCACTCCCCCCCCTGTCCGTCAGGCGCCACTCCCCCCTACCCGTCAGGCGTCACTTCCCCCACTCCGTCAGGCGCCACTGCCCCCCTGTCCGTCAGGCGCCACTCCTCCCCTATCCGTCAGGCGTCACTCCCCCCCCCCTGTCCGTCAGGCGCCACTCCCCCCTATCCGTCAGGCGTCACTCCCCCCCCTGTCCGTCAGGTGCCACTCCTCCCCTCTCCGTCAGGCGTCACTCCCCCCCCCTGTCCGTCAGGCGCCACTCCCCCCACTCCGTCAGGCGTCACTCCCCCCCTATCCGTCAGGCGCCTCTCCCCCCTCTCTGTTGATCACACAGAGATTTGTAAAAAAAATACTCAACATTCAGCGTGTCATCTGAAAGGCAGCGATGTATTAGTTACCGTGACCACGCTACGAGGAATATTGGCAGTGTGAGGGGCAAAGATATAGCTAAGATCAGGGGATTACCTAAGGACCCATTCCCCCTGGGGGCTCTTGTGGGGGAGTTTTGTAGGTAAGCGGCAGTATCAAGTGTCAAGATACTTCGCAACGTAATTGGCTGAAACGCTCAGATGAGCAATGGTACACTCTCTCTGATTGGTCAAACGAAAGTTACTAGTGACATCTGGCGATCCATAGACAAACAGGAACGAAACCCGTAACAGCCACACTAGAACGTTTCGTGTAATGTTACGTAGATTTAGCAAGTCTTAAGTCCTGTTTACGCTCGTCGGACCGTTAGAATGGTCTGGTTGGGTACTGTAGGCGTCGCGTGATCACCGCCGTAGATCAGGGAAGGACGTAGAAACTAATTTTAGAAACATTTAATAATTCAACGGTTGATATGGTATGCGGTGAGTGGCGGCTCACTACTCCGTGGGGCACGCGATATCCGGAACTCTAGAGGGGCGGTCTAGAGGCAGCGGTCTAGAGGGGCGGTCTAGAGGGGGCGGTCTAGAGGCAGCGGTCTAGAGGGGCGGTCTAGAGGCAGCGGTCTAGAGGGGCGGTCTAGAGGGGGCGGTCTAGAGGCAGCGGTCTAGAGGGGCGGTCTAGAGGCAGCTT